AAAATAGTCCATCCTACTGCTTCATGGAAGTGGATCAAAGGAAGGCAAGGATTGGATAATGGAAGGCACTTTACTTCCTATTGGGCCTTTCCTAATTTGGGAGAATATAACCAGTTGAGTGTCTGAAGATGGCATGTTTATTCTTTCTAGTCTCAACAGCTGGGCAACTTACATATGCTGTTTATATGGGCATAAAAATCACAACTATAAACTGATACTTAATCCTCAAAGGAAACCATTTCATTCATATTATCCCAGTAGTATTAATGTTAAAATATTATGTAAACACAATCTTTTTTAGCTCATGTGTAATTTCTGATTATGAGTTCATCAGGCAAAGTAAGTACAAAAATAGAATTTTATAATAAAAAGAATTTTGTAATAAAAAGCATAATAGTGATTAATACTAAAATAATCATACTAATGTCCAGCAGCTCCTGATACAGAAGAGTAGCCTATGAATGCACCAAATCCTACTGCTTTTTTATCCATTGAATAAATACAGGGATTAACTGACATGTAAAAGTAGGAAATAGTGTAATTACACAATTAAGTGGCTGCATACATCAAAACTATATATTATGTATACTGGGAAAATTGCATTTAAAGTTGTCAAAATACATATTTTAGGGTTATACAATGAGATGTACATTATTAAAATTGTAATCCCCATACTCCTCAATAGCATTCTTTTTTTGCCTTTCCTGTTCTCTATTTACTCATAGGTCCTATCATTATCTAATATACCATGTATTTTACTTATTTCTCTTATTTTTACTGAGTCCATCACAAAATTTTAAATTCCATCAGGACAAGAATTCTTTTCCTTCTGTGTTGAGCCAGAGATTGTATATCTCCAGCATGTATAAATGTTCCTACCACTTAGTAAGTACTCAGTAAATATCTGCAAATCATTTACAGTTGATTTTCCTTAAAATGTATAACAGTTACAAATAATAGGGACATTAGAGTTTTTCCAATGGAAGATGTTATTGTTGATACTGCTTTTCTTTTTTTTTTTAAATTAATTAATTAATTTATTATTATTATTATACTTTAAGTTCTAGGGTACATGTGCATAACGTGCAGGTTTGTTACATATGTATACTTGTGCCTTTTGAGATTTTTGTACCAACAGTCCTAGCCCTTTTGCTTTTGTCTACAATCATTTCAATACATTTTTTACCTGTGGCAATTATCACTAGACCAACCAACAAAAAAACTGATGCTTTTAGTGAAGGGAGTTCTGAAAAGATGATTCAGTAATGATCAACACTTTTGGTGAAAAACAAAATGTCTGATTGTTTATTACTGAAGGGCATGTCGACCAAATACATCTCACAGAATGATGTCATGTATATGTTACTGGATGTCCTTGTAGTCAGTGAGAGCACCCATCTGTTTCTGTCACTTAGGATGATTAAAAAATTGGGATGACAGAATCTCAGAACCTAAGCTATTTTTTTCAATATGACAATTTATTCGCATAATATATATGCTATTGAAATGTCCAGATTCATCTGTTGTTCATAAGAAGTCATAATGCCAACAATGAAAGGAGAGAGAACCAGCTGGTAGGAAAGACTAGCAATCTGTTTAGTGCGTTAAGTCAGGTCTGAGTGATATCATGTAACATACATGTCCCAAAAGCACATTTTGGCCATTGATGGTTATCCTAAACCACAGTAAAAATTCAACACAGATTCCAACTGTTTGAGCCATCAAGGAATTTCTTTTTAAAACAGGTTCTCATGTGACCATGAGTTTACCCATAGAAATAGAGCCTCTCAAACCAACCAAGGAGAATTTGAAATTTAAGGTATAACCAAACCAAAAATTAAGTTTGGCTTCAAAACAATATAAAAATCCTTAACTGCTAACTAGCATCTCCTTACTAGTTTTGCTCAGTGAAGGCAGTGTCAGTGGTAGCACTATTTATCATAAGTTTTAGCATGAATTTAATTCTGAGCATGAATTTTTTATCCTTATAAAAAGATAGATATTCATAAAAAAGTGACAAGTAGAGTTGAAGTCAAAAGTTTATTAATAAAATATTTAATTTGATGGCAAGTCATTGCTTTTTCCTAATTAACTAAAATATTTCAAAATTAATTTTATCTTATTTTTTTACTTGAAATATTCTTCACTTTTATAATCTGTTGCTCAGAGCATACAAAGCACACAAAGTTCTTGATATGCCTTGACAGAATCAGTGTGACATAGAAATCAGACAGGTCTAAGTTTGAATATTAGCTTTGTTACTCATTAGCACTGTTACCTGGACCAAGCTACACAACCCTTCTAAGCTCTAGTGCCCTCATCTATAAATGAAGTTAATAATGTTATCAAATTTGGAGTTGATATAAGGTCTAACTGAAATCCTTTGCACCATGTTTAGTACATTATAAAAGGATGATAAATATTAGCTGTTATTGGTAGATACCAATATCAAATATTATTAATTTTTCATACTTGGTCATATTTTGAAACAACCTAAATCCAAATGGTTACATTTTAGACTTCATATAAAAGCAGGGAACAGCTGGGTAAGCTCTAAAAGCTGTGGTGTAGGTGTGTGGTTGCTAGTCTATCATAAACTATTCAGAGTTGATGTTCTTGGCAACCACTGGGGCAAGCTGCCTCTAAGGCAAGTTCAGCTTTCTGGGTCTATTTCTTAAGAGCTCTAAAGAGCTCTTAAGGCAAAAATCCCACTGCACAATATTCTTCTGGCTGCTTGGAAGGCCAACTTTTTGATTGGCCTGGTTCCATGACATGCCCAAACTCAATGACATCCATCTCCAAGGCTACTTCAGCAGCAAACCTCTGGGATATCTCTAACTCAGCCATCTCTTCATCCAGAAGTGCTATACCTCTAAGACTGCAAGCTCATAATCTACTCTCCTGCCACAGGTACCTTAGCTTCCTCATTTGGGATTTCATCCATCACTCCTATGAATATTCTCCTCAGTGTCATTATTCCTTCTCATAAAGTAAAGAACCACTCCCCCTAGGTTTTCAACACCACTGGGGAAAAAACAATAAAATAAAACAAAATTGGATCTCTAGCCCCAAGCACTCTGTTGAGCTCTAGCCTTACCTTTTAATATGCCTACTGGTATCTCAAATACAACATATCCAAATACAAAGCCACCATTTTGTCTAAAAAGACATTCCTTTCATCTTACTTATTTCTCTAACTCTGTAAACAGAAATGTCTGCCCTATATATTTAACATACTTTTTGTGTATCTGAAAAAGAAAAAAAAAAATCCTAGTTACCTGGTCAAACATTCATTTCACTAAACATACTTATTGATAATAAATCACTTTCTCATAATAGAAAGAGATGAATTTTTAAAATTAATGATATTCACTGCCTAGTTAACTAAAAGATATCAATACAGGATCTGCTCAATTACTGTCTAATAATAAAAACCGTAACTGTTCACTTCCTTGTTGACAAATCTGACTTTCCATAATGGCGGTTTATTTCATACCTTGGCATCAAAGACATTAATTAAATTACAAAAGTAATCCACTTGAGATAATTATTGAATTATTTTAATGATTCAAGTTTACTAACTATAAATTTACTAATTTATAAGTCTGTAACAACGTGTGTTATACAGAACTGTATCTTCAAACATTCCTGTGACTTTGTTTGATACTATTTACTCTTTTAGGATAAGAAAATGTATAGAGAAAGCTTACAATGTCTAAGTATTTATTGGGCCAACTTTACAACACAGATCAACATTCCTCTTTTCAAGTACAGTCACTACTGTGCTATCAGAAAATGCTTCTGACAGATTGCATGACCACTCTGGGAGCTGTACTGTTCTGTTAGCTATTACTGATAAAATGGACATTTTACATATGTCTAAGGTTATATTAGAAATTATATTTGAAAGGTTGGAAGTCATATTTGGCTGAGTTTTATATCAAATGTAATTTACATCAAACACAGTCTTGGCTAAGAATTATTTCATAAACATGTAGCAACTATATTGTAGTAGTTAAAAACACACCCTGGAAATGACCTGCCTTGATTTAAATTTGGAGTCAGCTATATACCATATAAGTTATCTTGAGCAAATTACTGAACCTTTTCATGCCTCAGTTTTCCCAATTATAAAATGGCAATGAAAAAATACCTGCCTCCTTGATTTTTACAAGGATTAAATATATACCAATTCATGTAAAGGATTAATGTATGACTCACAGTAAAGATTCACTAAGTCCTGACTATTAGTTTTTGAGGAAGGGCAATGTTGATAAGTAAAATTAATTTAAGGAAGAAGAGAGTAATAAATAGTCCTTGATGGCTGTGGTGGCCCATCTGGAGCCAGACACTGGCTGCAGTAGGGGAGGTGCTGCCAGGGTTGCACACTATACAGACCTGGCAGGAACCAGGAACAGGTAGGAGCCCTGCCTGCCTCATTCTGAGTTTGCAGGGCAGGAGCCCCACCCTCCCAGGTGTAGCTGCAGCTCTTCAGCTGCAGCTGTGGATCTGAGCATCTGCTCTCCTGGCCCAGAAGCCCCCCTGCCCCCACAGACTCAGAAATGCCTGTTCCCTCTGTCTGGCAGCTCCCCACTCCCAGCACCTGCTCTGATTTCAGAGCAAAGTTGAGGCCAAGCCCAGGTGCTGTTGTGTTCGCCCCAGCTGCGAGTGCGCATGCTTAGGGAGCTGCTGACACATCAGCCCCCTGCTGCCTCAGCCCCCTCCAGTCTTTGGGTGATGCTAAGCACAAGAGGGATGCCGAGGGGGCACTAATGGCAGCTTGGTAAAGGCCTGAAGGCATCCTCTGACACAAACAGCCTGGGCACCCTGGATGACATGTTAAATGGCAGCAGGAGGCAGACAGGCTCCTGGGCAGAAAGGGTCAGGTGCCTGGTGAAACCCCACCTTCAAGCCAGGGACTGTCGGAAGCCTCATAGCTTGACTGTCAGTTCCAGATGGAGTCCATGACCTGCAGTGAGAATTTATGGTGCTTTTTCCAGGCTGCCCATGGCCACCCAGGAACCAATCAGCATGTACTTCCGTCCCTCTGAAGTCCATAAAACCCCCAGACTCAGCCAGACTCAAGCAGATGATGGGATGACCTATCTGTGGATATGTGCTACTGGACTCCTCTCCACTGAGGGCTGCACACTTGTTGGAACAACCTGCCTGTCAAAAGGAGCTACCTATTTCAGGTCTCTTGAGATTGGTACTGTTGCTCAATAAAGCACTTCTTCACCTTGCTCACTCTCCAGTTTTCTGCATACCTTGTTCTTCCTGGATGTGGGACAAGAACTTGGGACCTGCCAAATGGTGCAACTGAAAGAGCTGTAACACAAACAGGGCTGACACACACCTCCTTTGCTCACCACATTTCAGGCGATGAGAAGGAAAAAAGAGCTGCAGCCCTTTGGGGATCTCAGGCCTAGGTGCTCCCTGAGCCAGGGCTATGACCCCTCTTTGGCACTCTGCAGTTTCTGGTGTCTCCAAGCTCCTGGGTGCCACTGTGTTCCCCTCGTCTAGAGACAGGTGCCCACAGCTGAAGCTGCTTGCCATGCATCTGATTTAGCTGCATGCTCACACGGAGCCAGTGTCTGTGCTGGCACCTGGAGCTGCCCACCCCACCTCAGTGACTAGTGTGCTTGGCAGTGTGCAGTGTCCGGACCTCACACTCACCTACTCACACATTCCTTGCCACTCCACCCTTGGCTCCAGTGTCTTCAGAGGCATGGGAACTGGGCTGGTAGTGCTAGCCAAATGCAGACTATCAGGCCAAGTGGGTAGAACAAGCCCTGTGGGCCCTAGCAAAACTCAGGCTAAGGCGCCACTGGCCACAGAGGTTTCCAGCTGGAAAAGTGATACCCTAAGGATCCTATAACATCATTAGGAATCCATCACACATCACATTTGAACTGCCTGTTTTACAAGTATTATCTCACATGATTTTCACAACAATCCTTTAGGAAATCCTAAGTCTATCCATTATGAAAGAGCAAAGTTGAGACTTAGTGAGTTCAAGTAACTTAGATAAGGATACAAAACTATCATACAAGTAGACAACGTTTGGGCCTACCTCTCTGACTCTCTGACTTTCCATCGCACTTCTTAATAGCCAATTTTCCCTTGTAAAAAAATTACTGGCCGGGTGCAGTGGCTCATGCCCGTAATCTCAGCACTGGGAGGCCAAGGCAGGCTGATCACCGAGGTCAGGAGTTCTAGACTAGCCTGGCCGACACTGCGAAATCCTGTCTCTACTAAAAATATAAAAATTAGCTGGGTGTGGTGATAGGTGCCTGTAATCCCAGCTACTCAGGAGAGTGAGGCAGGAAGAATTGCTGGAACCCAGGAGGTGGAGGTTTCCATGAGCCAAGATCACACCACTATCCTCCAGCCTGGGCGAAAGAGTCAGACTCCATCTCAAAAAATAAAATAAAATAAAACAAAGATAAATAAAAACTAAAAAAAATTGATTGCCTATTTTTTAGAATCCTAGAATTTTTAAGTTGGAATAAACCCTAGATGTGATCTGGTCAAGATCACCATTTTATTTTATTTTTTATTTATTTATTTTTTTTTTTGAGACGGAGTCTCACGCTGTTGCCCAGGCTGGAGTGCAGTGGCGCGATCTCGGCTCACTGCAAGCTCCGCCTCCTGGGTTCAGGCCATTCTCCTGCCTCAGCCTCCTGAGTAGCTAGGACTACAGGCGCCCGCCACCGCGCCCGGCTAATTTTTTGTATTTTTAGTAGAGACGGGGTTTCACTGTGGTCTCGATCTCCTGACCTTGTGATCCGCCCGCCTCGGCCTCCCAAAGTGCTGGGATTACAGGCTTGAGCCACCGCGCCCGGCCGTAGATCACCATTTTAAAAAATTGAAAGAGACTGAAGTTGAGAATTTAAGTGACTTGTCAGATTCCCTGTAACTATCCTTTTATTTTTCTTCAATACAAACCTATCAATACATTTTAAATGCTAAAATTATCCTATTCTAATATTAAAAACACTCCATTGGCCATCATCCCCATTAGACAGCAAGTTGATGAATGTGTATTTAGGCCAAGATAATTGGGAAATAAAATCGGCCAGCCACTAGAGAAAGTGTGAGACAAATTCTGAGACTAAGATAAAAAGAATAGCTTTGTTGGTGACTTAGAGTTGTACCAAAGTGGGAGTTAAGTTTTGCTTGGAGAGGAAATGAAGAGAGAGAAAAAGGTAGTGTTCATGTGTGAAAGGAACAGAAAGATTTTTCACACCTTCTTTTAAAGTAATTATAATCTCTTCTATTTCCTGTCTCTTCATGGTCTTCCTTTTCCTCCAGCTCCTTCTTTTCCCTAATGTGATACACGTGAGCTAAGTTGTTTTTTTTTTTTTTTTTTTTTTTTTTTGCCACTTCCTTTCTCTCTTCTCTGTCAAGAAATTTGAACATTCAATATCTCCTCTTGCTCATATGCCTTAAATTTCTTAACCAATGCCAATTTCTGCCTCTCCCCCATCCCCATCAGCTGAGACAGATCTTGCTCTGAAATTCAACAATAATTTCACATTTCTTACTTGGTTTCATGTCCCTCTTGCAAATTTCACCACTGACCCCCCTCTTTTATTATATATATATATATTTTTTTGTTTCTGTGTTATAATTTTATCTTGCTTGTCCCTATTCTCTAATTTTTGATCTCAGTATTCTTTTCATATCTAGTTGGATTCTTCAAGGCTTCTTTTTCTAACTTCTACACCCAGTCTGCATGCCTAACTTCAATGATCTTTCATTTCCTTTTCTTCAACTTTTTGCCTTCTCTACTTTTCCATTCTCAGTTCTCACCATCCCCCATGTGAACTCTAGGCTCTAGCCATAGTTGTTCTCCAATACCTCCTGTTCCTTCAGGACTGCATGTCGCTGTTCATGTTCTTTCTTTCATTTGGATGGCCCCTTTCATTTTTGGCTTCCTGATAAATAGCTTAAAATCACTTTAACTGAGTGGCTCAGATAGTCATCTACTGCTGCTTTTGTGCTCTTGTGAGTCTCTGCATCACTTACCATATTATTTTGTAATGGATTTCTCTTCCAGTAGCGTGTGTGCTTCACAGGCACCTCCTTGAAACTGATCATTCATCTTCATAGCACATGTTAACTGACATGGTACCTAGATTTCAGGGGATCCTTTCACAATTAGGTTTTGATCAGTGAACAAATTTGGAGTTATAGAGCAAACAGCAGACAGTGGTATTTTGAGAGGCAATAGAGAACAGAACTGAGGCCAAAGTGGTTGGCAAAGGGTCTCAAAGAGATCAGAGAACTTTGGAGCATGAAGAATTCAGATTTGGTAGCAAAACTGAAGTCAGAAGTCCCCTTCAGCCCAGGTTATGACAACATTATGTTCTTTCAAAAAGATTTTAGCAGAGAAGGAAGTAGAAAATATCAGGATTTCTGGGGAATTCCCCTTTCGAAATACTATTTTAAAAATTTAATAGCCTTCATAATGTTTTATGATTCATGAAACCTTTTAAGCAGGTTTCTATAACACAACTGATAACACACCATTAAAGGATTTTTACAAGAGGGCATGGAGAGGGCTTCCATGCAGCTACATACCCAGATGCTTCCTGAATGGGATGGATATATGTTATACTAACTAGGATAGTTTCCAAAACAATGACCTAGACTTGCTGTCGTAAATGTCACCTATACACTGACATGAATATACATAAGAATTTATGTAATTAGCTACTCCAGATCTCTTAGCTAATTCACAAACATACATCTCCTACAAGAGAGTAAAATAGTTAAGGAATAATAAAATTCAGTGAAGCTAACAATAATGGAACATTCTATTGGCTTTAAAAACACTGTAAAACCAATATAATAAACAAGGCTCTCTTTTGAAAAATCTTATGAAGTAATATAGAAAATTAATTTCCTGTTCAAATCAATGATGTATCAATTTAAATGTAGTTGAATTCTATTTTGGAACTTGATTAAAGTGATCTTGAAAGGTTTCTAAATTAAATTTGTCTTTAAATCCCTAAATCAAAATTGTTCAAACCTAGTTTATTTTCATATTCCTTTCAAAATCACCAATGACTGGTACCAATTACAAGATGGCCGGGGTCCTATGCATGAACCTTAAAACATGCAACAAAATTACTGTGATTGTCTATGTGGTAACACTTGCACTTGACAAGTGGCAAGCAGGGTGATTTAATTGATTTTGAACAGATTCTATTACTCAGTATATGAATACCAAATAAACACATAAACAATGCAGGTGATACAATGTACAATATAATTAGAAAAGACACTGGCTGTGCACAGATGGTGACACATATAAGAGAAATGCATCTAAAAATGTTGCCGTACTTCAGAAGGCATTTATCCACTTGTGAGAATAAAGAAGTGGAGAAGGACAAATTTAGTGAAAAGAAAAGATAACTTAGGGCAGAGAAGAAAACTATTTCCACATAACTGAACATCTGTAGCAGGAGTGTCCCCTTCACAACCAGGAAAGTGAGGCCCCTCTCCTGGATCCCAGGCCTCAGGGTATTCCACGCTTTGAGTGCTTTACTTGATATATTCACTGTCCCTTTCTGATAGCTGGACCAGCCAAGATCTGCAGTACTATCTGGGTGGGGTGCTTCAAACTCAGACTGGAACTGCGTGGGACCCATTCCTAATCATGTCTGGAGCCCTCTCCAACACTTTATCCCAAGTATGAGGTCAACCAGATGCTCCAAGGAGCTTAATGACACACTTATCTCAGGATTTGGTGACCTTGTCCTAGTTCCAAGAGAGCATCCTGGCAAGGGGTCCCTCCCACAGGGCAGTGTAATATTTCACTCAGAGAACTACACAATATTAGGCTGCAAAAATGGAGCATACATAATTAATTTTGACTGATGTCCATTCAGGTTGGACAGAGGATGAGTTCAGACCTCTGCACACCAATGGTTCAGTACTGGTATTTGGGTTTGAGCCTTGTGAGTTCACACCTCAGCTCTCACCTGCCCATGTTCTAGTCTACAGAGGATGCTAGTCTACAGAGGTTGAGGGTGGCAAGGGTTGCAGCAGGCGTTCTTTATCCTGTGAGTCCCTGACCCATGAAAACCAAAGCTGAAACTTCTCCTGTTTTGCAGGTTCTGTGCTAATAGTGAGGAAGTTCTCTGGTGATGACCATATTTACTTACTCCTCAGAGGCCTTTAAAAATCATTTTTTCTTTAATGCTAATGGCCCTTTTGATCAATGTCCTCTCCTACCTTCTATAA